TATTTATTTATTTTAGAGAGGTTGGGGAGGAGGAGAGAGGCAGAGGGAGAGAGAGAGAGAGAGAGTCTTAAGCAGACTCCACCACGCCCAGAGTGGAGCCTGACATGGGGCTCAATCTCACGCCCCTGAGATCATGACCTGAGCCAAAACCAAGAGTCGGATACTCAACCGACTGCATCACCCAGGTGCCCCACCCCCCCAAAACGTAATAAAGTTAGTTATTGTTGTTGTCATGTCCCAGTTATCCAATAAGAGGGAGAAGTTAATTCTTATGAATAGCCATACTTTCAAACATTATGCAGTCATCAAAAACAGCTATGAAGAGATTCAATAATTAGGGGAAATGCTTCTTCTGTAATAGTAAGTGAAAAAAGTGGGATGTACAAAAATATGTGGATAATGTCATCCCAACAATGTAAAAAATCTATATGAATCAAAGATTTAAAGGAAATACACCAATCATTAAATTGGCTGATTCTGGTGCTGATTGTTCTCTTCTTTCTAGTTTTCTATATTTCCCAATTTTCTTTTTTTTTTAAAGACTTTATTTATTTGACAGAAGAATAGAGCGAACCAGAGAGTACAAGCAGCGGGGAATGGCAGAGGGAGAAGGAGAAGCAGGCTCCCCCCTGAGCAAGGAGCCTGATGTGGAGCTCGATCCCAGGACTCTGGGATCATGACCTGATCCAAAGGCAGATGCTTAACTGACTGAGCCACCCAGGCGCCCCTATATCTCCCAATTTTCTATAATAAAATGTATTTTTCTCTAATAACAGTAAGTTTGAAAAACATTGTTAAAAATAGAAAGAGGGAGTGTCTGGGTGGCTCAGTCGGTTAAGCTTCCAACTCTTGGTTTCAGCTCAGGTTGTGATCTCAGGGTCTTGAGATCAAACTCCACATGGGGCTCTGCGCTCAGCGAGTCTACTTGGGATTCTTTTCCTCTTCTTCTTCCTCCCCTCTCCCTCTGCCCTTCCCCCCATGCGTGCTCTCTCTCTCTCAAATAAGTAAATAAGTAAATAAATAAATAAAATCTTTAAAAATAAAATAAATAAAAACAAAAAGACCTGGGGTTTCAGGCATTATATGAGCATCTGATCCCAGCCATTAATTCTTTGTTTTGTGTTTTGGGGTAATTTTTGAGCTCCATGCCTTTCATCTTTTCACTATGGACCAATACTATTAGCTTGATTGTTCAGTTTTTCAAATATCCAGCTCCTTGCCTTTTACAGCTGGCTTTGGATTGTTTCAAAGGTTAAATGAGGTACTTTCCATGATTGGAAATATACACAGCAGAGGTTGGGGATGCTGTAAGCTTAGGAATGCAAGGAGATGACACTTCAGGTAATAACACAATTCATCGAAACCCCTGATAAGTGCTGGGGCGATATCTATAAAAATTAATAGGTTATCTTTACATTATTTGTCTGTTTTAATTATTTGCCTTTTTCTTGAGTCTTCATGAATAATGGTACTGTGAGCCTGACCCTTTTAGAAAAATGCTACACTACTGTAATTATATTTTAGAGATACAATATTATGTGAAAAGTCACCTTGATACTATTCAGACATATTGTATTATGTCCGGGACGAAGATCTTCGACGAATGCAAACTTTCCTGACATTACTCATTACATTTAGTGTAGCTAGGTTGGCTGTGTGCGTATTTTTAGCTCCACTAGATAAATTAAATTGGATTGTGTTTTTTATGTTTTTGCATTTCCAGACCTTCAGGATTTTCTGAAGTCCAAACTCTGCTTATGTGGTAGCTTGAAAATATGTCTACAAATTCTTTGGTATTGCTTCCCGAAGAGGTTGCGTCTGATTCCTCTCCCCTTGAGGGTGGGCTCTACTTATGACTCACTTCTAACAAATAGAACGTGACTAAGGTGATGGTATGTGACTTCCAAGACTAGGAGCTAGAAGTATGGCCTCTCCTTGCTCTTCTTTGATCACTCATTCTCAGGGAAGCCAGCTGCCATGTTGTGAGAACACTCAAATAGCCCTACGGGGAGGCCCACTCAGCAAGGCACAGAGGCCTCCTGCCGACAGCCATGGAAGCAGATCCATCGGCCTCAGTCAAGCCTTCAGATGACCGCAGCCTTGCCGATGTCCTAACTACAAAATCTCGAGAGACCGTGAGTTGGAATCACCCAGGTAAGCTGCTCCCAAATTCCTATTCCACAGAAACCGTGAGGTGGTAAATGCCTATTGTTTTGAGACACTGTTTTGGAGTAATTTGTTAGCAGCAATAGATAAATAACACAGCTTACCACATAACTTTACTGCTGGAAAACTCTCCTGAGAGATTTTATATCCACACCATGTAGTGCCTACCATAAGTAGGGTCTGAACTTCATGGTAGGTTCATAGTGGTGAGGAAAACCAACCCGGGGAGTGCCTGGGTGGCTCAGATGGTTAAGCATCTGCCTTCGGCTCAGGTCATGATCCCAGCGTCCTGGGAGGGAGCCCCATTATCGGGCTCCCTGCTCGGCGAGGAGCCTGCTTCTCCCCCTCCTACTGCTCCCCCTGCTTGTGCTCTCTTGCTCTCTCTGTTAAATAAATAAATAAAATCTTAAAAAAAGAAAAAAGCCCGGAATCTGCTATGGGGCAGCTTATCTTTGAATTCCACAAACATGGAGTAAAAGAAAAGGAGCCAAACCTTTGTGATGTTGAGGAAGTTACTTAATATCACTTGCCCTTGATTTATGAAATAGAGAATAATATTTACTTTGCATTGTTGTGAGGCTGAGAAATGATATTCAAGTACCTAGCACGAGTTGTCACTCATAAGTGCTTGCTATTATTAGTATAGAGGTGGATTTTCACCGGCAGCTTTTTTTTTTTTCAGACTTCTAGTTAGAGCCCCTGCATGATGCCAAAAATGTCCAGTCATTGCATGACTGTGGAAGGCAGCTTTGTCACTGCTAGGTTTGAAGAGTTAGTAACTTTACTAGGAAAAGCTCTCCGCTGTCTTTCTCAGAACTGTTGGTTTGAAAACCTCACAGGTAAATGATGGTGCCATGGTTTAGATTTGACTCAGTACCTCTCACAAGCTGGTTGTAAATATATCTTCTCGCTACGAATCATTTCGAATAATAAATAAGCAAAGTTTTCACTCTGACGTGCCAACATACTAAATGCCATCAGCCATTTTGTTGAAAGGTAGAGGACTATTTCTCATGCTGGACCATGTGTGTGACATTTTATTCCAAAGCCATCCTTTCACCATTTAGATAAGTACTTATCCATCATCACATTATTTAATCCAAAATTGTACGGGTTCCTCCTTTCCTCAATTATATTGTAGCTTCAACTCCATCTCATCAATTATATCGATTTCTTAAGCTGTTGAGACGAGGGGATCTGACACGTACTCACTTTATCCACCTCTGCTCTAATATTGTGGGAATTATCAAGAGAAAAAGCTCAGAACCTAAAGTTTAGGTCGAAGATCAGCAATTTTAAGAACCCAAATGTAGATAATCGGTGCACAAGGTGAAAGAATTAGATGGTGAGGAACAAGACTGTCGCTTCTGGCCGGAGGGCAGCTCTCCCTGGCTGCCAGGTCCTTATATGCATAATCGCAGCCCCTGGTTCGCTCTGTTGTTATGGCAACCACCGCTGTATATCACACTAAAATCTGGTATTGAAATGTACTAGAAGCACAAAGCATACATTTTTCCTATTTTTCCCAAGTTCTTTTTTCATGGGTTCATGTAGCAATCCAACATGAAACATTTATTGGAGCTTTAAAAATCATAAATCCATCATCTCCCACTCTGAGATTTAGAACTAGCTTCTCCGACTGTAATAGCAATTCCCCACCAAACGGATGGAATACATTTCAAACCATTAGACTTTCTTTGCAAAGAAACGGGGGTGGGGGGGGGAGGGATTGCCCTTGGCGATCTTCTGTGAAGCTCATCTACATCACTCGTTCCCTGATGTAAGCAGAATTAGTCTTCAGATTCCAAACTGCCGAGAGAGAGAGAGAGAGAGAGAGAGAGAGAGAGAGAGAGAGAGAGAGACACGATGTGGGGGGATTTTAAATGAGGGGTGACAGTTTTGCTTCTTTCCCACAAGGAACAGGTCAATGCTGAAATTCTCGAGCTGCTCCATTTAATTCACACAGTAAAGTCAGAGGCTTCTTGAATGAAGAGAGCAGCCACTAGCTATGAGACAGACTGTTATTATCAGAATTGCTGGCATTCAAATAATGCGGAGAAGGCTGTAGATTAGAGTTAGATACAGAGCACTAAAACTGATTTAAAACAAAAAAAAAGCTTTCAGTGACCTAATTCAGGAACTACCTAGGATGCCTCCCGGAAAGAATTTTGCATTAAGCATTCAGATCAAGAGAAAGACCCACATCCATTTATCTGACACATTTAATTCACAACATTATTCCTCTTTCTCTAGGGAAAAGATTATATAACCGAAAATATCATAACGAATGGAAGTAGGACACAGGAAAACCCCGTTGTCGAGAACATTGCTGGTCCGATGTGAGTTCTTGTAAACATTTCTTAGATGCAAACCTAACAGCTGTTTTCAACATTAATATTATTATAATACTCATTGCCAAGACTAGACTGTATTGCTAAGAATTTGTGAAGAACTCAAAGATTTGGAGTTTTAAATCTGCTTTTTCAATATTGGAGATAATCCGCTGGTTGCAACATCCTTGCCTTATAATTTTTTTTTCATGGAAAGGCCATTGCAATCATCTGGACAGTCTCGTCAGAATACAGCTTGAGAGGAAGGAAAGATCTTCTTTTAATAGCTAAACAACCCTAGGATCGCATTTATAAACTTTAGGAATGGAAATAAAAGTAAAGGTTGAATGAATTAAAATGTCCTTGAGCTAGAAAGTAAGATAGGATGGAGGGGAGAATGTCATCCGATTTATTTTGCTTCCGTTCAAATACCGTAAGCAAACTCCAGCTACTCAGAGGCCTCCTTAAGGCAATATCCCCAACTAGAGGTGGTAGAGAACGGAACGAGGCCACAGCAATCCCCAGTCGGGCCACTGTCGAGGAAGCTGCTGACCTAGTGAGTTTCTGGAATAGGTATGCGGTGTCATCAGAGAAAATCACCCTCTGCCTACACAACTAACATCTGACTTTCCTCATGAGGAGTCGCGTCAAGCAAGCTCTTGATTAAGCAGGTTCTGCATTCCTACTTGGTCTATTAAAGCAAGGACTGTGCTCTTGGCACTGGGGCACCCAACCTGAGCCTGAGCACAGATCAAGGCACACCCTGGACAGTGTAAACTAGGATATTTTCATCATAGCCAAAAGCTCTGTTCTAAATGCAGAGCAGGTGATAAAAATTAATCAAGATTAATGGGTTGGCTTTAGAAAGGTTCCTTGAGATAACATGCGAGCTTTGGATGCTTTAAATTATACGACATCTTCCAAATGAAACATCACATGTTTTGGTGGCTAAGGGAGAAATCAATAAAGAAATAAAGGCTGCATCTAATCATAGAACCTATGGGATACTTTTCAGATTTTTAAAAATTTCTTCAACAAAAATGCATGGCTCTTCCCCATACCAGATACTGTGCCGGGCATGCATTCAAAATCAAAGAGGTATACATCCTAGCCTCATGGTATGCTCTAAAGAAGGTCAAACAATGAGATATGAATGAGCGATACAGGTGATCAATACCACACAGGAGACCCTCCTCTGGGTGTGCAGAGGTTCTTTGGACCCCTTTGCAGTAAGGGGGCATTGACGCCCCAGCTGTTGGGAATGTTCCCTACTTATTGCTTTCAGCTGACGCCCTCCCCAGCAGGAGAGCGCACTGGATTAGCCATGTTTTTGCATAGTAAATCTATCCAGGGATAAAAGGAAGGATTTCTTCCCTTCTCTGGGACGTCTCAGTATTTTCAGGAGACATAAGCCACTGGGCAGCCATAAGCGCAAAGAGAAAATTCAAGGGAGGCAGTGATTAATGTTTAAGAGAGGGAGGTCATAGCAAAGCAGGTTTTCCTTATTTGATGTAACTGATTTTGCGACGTTTGGGGCTTGGGGTTGCAAAGGAAACAGTGTTTAGAGACATGGTGAGTTCAGAAGGAAAATCCAGTGTTGGCCAGAAAGAGATTAAAGGCTCAGCTGGGGCAGATAGAACAAGGCACCCTTATCCCTGTGATTGAGAAAGGTCTTCCTTTCTTTTAAGATTTTATTTATTTATTTGTCAGAGAGAGCGCGCACAAGCAGGGGAGCGGCAGAGGGAGAAGGAGGCTTCCCGCCGAGCAGGGAGCCTGATGCGGGGCTCGATCCCAGGACCCCAGGATCACGACCTGAGCCAAAGGCAGACGCTTAACTAACTGAGCCGCCTAGGCGTCCCTCTTTTGGTGTTTTAATGTATTATTGCTTATCCTAGAATTTTGAGATTGAATTTAAAGCTTTCTGGTTTGAGCCCATTCTGCACTTAAATTCAGGAATATCCTCTCTGCTTCTTTCTCCACCTCTATCTGCGTGTGAAGAGTAAAACCCACAGATAACTCAGTCTTCTGACTGGAGGGAAAAAATCATCCAGTTCCTTGCTGGTCGGAGTGTGGTCCTTGGACCAGCGGCATCGGCAGCATATGGGGGCTTGTTGGAAATGCATGCTTTCACGCCATACTCTGCACTTGCAGAATCAGCAGGTGCACTGTAACAGGACGCCCAGGAGATTCGTGCGCATGATCAGGTCTGAGAAGCAGTGTTCGGATTCAGGGGTCCTCAAAGTTGAATGTTCAGCAGAATCAGAAGAACGAAGGGTGACCTGTTGGACTGCAGATCGCAGGGAGCACCCCCAGACTTTCTGATCGAGTAGGTCTGAGATGGGGCCCAAGAATGTGCATTTCCAGCCCATTGCCAGGTGCTCCTTCTCCTCACTGACTGGGGGACCAGGGTTCCTCTCTGCTGCTCACCAGCTGCGTGATGCCGGGAGCTCTCCTGACCTCTCCAAGACCAAGTTGCTTTTCGTGTTACAGGGAGTGATGCTAACTTCATGGTGAGAATGTGAAGACCTTTTGAAACGCCAAGCACCTGACCCAAGCCCGGTCACAGAATACGCTCTTCAAATTGGGGTCTGCAGACCAGCAGCACCAGCGTCCCCTGGGAGCTTGGAAGACCTGCGGTGTCTGCCCCCACCCCAGACCTGTGGCAGCAGACTCTGCAGCGTCACAAGAGCCTCAGGTGAGAATTATGAGTGTTAAAGTCTGAGCGGAGTTCTACAAGCACGTGGGTCCTCATTTCCCAGTTCCATGTGAGGGTACTGAGGCTCAGAGAATAGGGGTTTCTAGCCGCAGACCAGGCATCGGAAGCTTGAACCCCTAAATCTCCCCCATTGTTCCCACTCTCTCCGATTGCAGCCGCACCCCGAGGATTTGATTCCCCATCTCAGGTGGGAACGCTCACCCTCACCCCAAGCACAGGTTTGCAGCGCCCTGGGAGGCACCCAATGCAGAGAACGCGCATCCACAGCGAACTTGCCTCCTGACCTGGGGCTCTGCCAAGAAATAGATCGAGCCTGAGAGGAGAGAAAAGATTTCTGTACCTGAGGGTTTGCTTGTTGGACTTTGTGATTTTTTGTGTTGGATCTTCACGCTGAGGTTCTACGGGAATCCTCGTGGGCAGGAGAGGAGTAGGAAAGAGAAGGTATAAAAGCAAAAGCCACACAGGGTATAAGGAGTCCCGTGGGGAAAGACAGACTCTGGGTTGCCAAGGAGAATGACTTGCTCACAGGGAGAAACTGGGTTCTGTTAGAACACATGGTGCAGCTAAGTTCCCACCACAGAAGTCAGCCCCCTCAGTGTTCTGGTGTGGGATTCTTTGCGAACAAAGTGCTGTTTGGGAATCATTACCATTTGTAGCTCTTTTATTGTATGAACCAAATGAATCCTTCCTGAACATTCTAACGAACACAATACAGAAGTGACTTTAGCAGAGTTAGAAAGGTAGCATTTCTTTTTTTGCATACTGATGAGTACTGACATCTGAAAAGTAATCTGACAGGAAATATAAAATAACCAAATTTATTTGATAATAAAATTCTGGAAACTGTCCTTCCCCCATAAGTGCATGGCTAATTTTGTCATCGAACTTTCTGTTTGACACCTCTTGCGTTGTGACTGAAGGAGTCTGCTTTCATTTCATTAGACCTCATGGACCCGGGACTCCTTGTTCTTTCCTTGAAGCTGAGGGAGGCTGGATGCACATAAACAAGCCGTCATCCCAAATACCATGGCTACAAGATTTACACTGCCCATTATAGTGGAAATCAGTACAGCGATACTCACTTTAGAGCTAGAAGAAGTTCAGAGATGGGAAGTAATTTATCCAAAGTCATGGCCTGTCCAGGTTGGGGATATGCTTAAAATTTAGATCCCTAGTCTGAAGCCTCTTCATATAAAGCATAGACATAAAAATGGTGAGTTCCAAGTAAGAGCTAGATTTTAAATTTTGAGTCTTGATTTCTTTGCCTAGCTATATTTTCTCCTCCCTGGCCCTTAAGCATTGACATCTCCTGGATATAGCTTCCCCCCAGAAGCAACTTTGGGGAAAATGGATTTCAGCTAGGCCTTAATCAAAAGCCGCCTTGTTAAAATTTGGCCTCCAGTTCAAGACTGAGCAGAGCCCCTTTGGATGAATCCACAACTCAACTCATTTAATGAATGAGGGATCTCAGAAATTTGCCTCCTCCCCCTCCAATCCCCAAATACACTCCGGGATTCAGTGCGATGGGAAAATCAAACAGTGACTGCCTCTAAGCAGGAGAGGATAGTGATTTTTGGCCGGGAAGGAAGGAGCAAGGGGGGAATTTTCTGGAGGGAAAGTAATGACCATTTTCACCGGGGTTTGGATTAGGTGGCGCGGCGCACATTTGTCCAAACTCACGGATACACTGAAGATTTGTGTGTTTCATTATATGTGAATTTTAGCTATCCTAAAACCTTGGGTAATGAAACAAACTCCCCGGGAAAATATTTGGGATGGTGACAGGGTTAAGAGCTAGAAGTGTTAAATTTGCATTTTTATCAGCTCTGTCATCATCCTCACCAACCACAAAATACAAAAGTCTTTAGACCACGTCTGTAGAAGGTGGGGTGGGTGGAAGTAAGAAGAAGCCAAAACCTGTATCTAAAGTACACGATGCATGTTCCGGGGCAATTGTCTTTCTGCTGGCACAGCCAGGAAACCAGACCTTTGCCCTGAACGGAGCCGGCTTCCTTTAGCAGCTACTCCTTAGGTAAAAATAATCACTAGGGTTGTGGGGGGGTGTGGAGGGCGGGGAAGCTGAAGGGCGGGAACTCCGTCGTGAAGCCCCTGGAGGAAACCCCGTGTAGGGTGGTGGGAATTGGGCATCTCCGATTCTCTGATGTCTTCCCCTAAGTAAACGTAGAAATGGGTCAAAAACTGGCAGGGAGGAGAGGCCCTGCTTCAGGATAAAATCCATTACGTTATGGGTTTGGGAAAAATTTAAAAAGCATGTGGGTAAAGAATAAATGTTACTAAGATTGTATTGTGTGAGGGTCTTCCTGTTCGCACTTTGAGAATTACTCTGTTTCCCCAGTTTACCAGTGTGGTGTGCTGCTTTTATTATCATGCAAATTTCAAGCCTAGAAAACACAGAGAATAATATAACAAAGAGTAGTATACCCATGATTCAGTCTCGGAGCACCCAGCTGGCTCAGTCCGTGGCACCTGTGACTCTCAATCTGGGGGTCGTGAGCTCGAGCCCCATGTTGGGCGTGGAGCGTACTTAAAAAAAAAAAAGTATGTTTCCATGATCCAGTCTTGTCGGATTACTGTTTTTTTCTTTTTTTAAGATTTTATTTTTAAGTAATCTCTACACCCAACGTGGGGCTCGAACCTACCACCCCAGAGATCAAGGGTCACCTGCTTCACTGACTGAGCCAGTCAGGCGCCCCGGGATTACTTCTTTTTCGAGATTGCCAGGGTGTTTTACTTTGTGATCAGTGATTATTAATAACTAAATAGTTCAAATGAATCAGAGTTGTCCTTCTATGAACACTTATATCCTCTTGGCTTTTTCCTCACCTTTATGTTATACGTACTTGGATATAGGCGTTTGGACATGATAATTGGTAATTGGATACTACTCCTGTTTTCCTAAACAGGTACATATATCTCTATGAGTGACTGCTCTTAGCTTTTGCTATTTATAATTTATAGAGATTTTTTTTTTTTTTTTTTGCTTAAGAGACTTATTGTTAAAATACTTGAGGCATATCTGCTTTTTTGCTCTACAGACTACAGTCTGGTTGCTTTATAATTATTTTTTTTTCAGCTTTATGGAGATTTAATTGACATATAACACTGAGATTAAGGTGTACAACATGATTTAATACACATATATATTGTGAAATGATTACCACAATAATGTTAGTAACACCTCCATGATGACTTTTACAAAAATTTGTTGTTTACTTTTTGTTGTTGTGATGAGAACACTTAAGGTCTATTCTTAGCAACTTCCAAGTATATAATACAGTATTGTTAACTATAGTCACCATGCTGTACATTAGATCCCCAGAAATTATTCATCTTATTACTGTAAGTTTGTACCCTTTGACCACCATCTCCCCATTTTCTGTGTCCCCTAGCCCCTGGCAACCACCAATCTACTCTCTCTTTTTTTAAGATTTTTAAAATTTATTTATTTGAAAGACAGCACACACGAGCAGAGGGGGGAGAGGGAGAAGCAGACTCCCTGCTGAGCAGGGAGCCCAATGCGGGGCTCGATCCCAGGGCCCTGGGATCATGACCTGAGCTGAAGGCAGATGTTTAACCAACAGAGCCATCCAGGCACCCCACCAATCTACTCTCTGTTTCTGAGTTTTGCTTTTTTAGATTCCACATATAAGTGAGATCATATAGTATTTGTTTTTCTCTGATATATTTCACTTAACATAATGACCTCAAGGTTCATCAATGTTGTTGCAAGTGGCAGGATTTCCTTCTTTCTCATGACTGAATAATATTCCATTGTGCATTTACTTATGTATATAATATAATATCCATATAGAAACATCTTCTTTATCCATTCATCCATCCAGAGATACTTCAGTTGTTTCTGTACCTTGGCTATTGTGAATAATGCTGCAATGAACATAGAAGTTCAGATATCTCTTTGAGATCCTGATTTCATTTCCTTTGGATATGTACCCAGAAGTGGAATTGCTGCATTGTAGGGTAGTTCTGTTTTTAATTTCGTGAGAAACCACCATACTGTTTTCCACAGTGGCTGCACCAAGGGATACTCCCACCAACAGTGCATGAGGGTTCCCTTTTCTCCACATCCTCTCCAACTTCTGTTAGCTCTTGTCTTTTTGATACTAGCCATTCTATCAGGTGTGAAGTGATAGCTCATTGTGGTTTTGATTTGCATTTCCCTGACGATGAGTGAGTGACGTTGAGCATCTTTTCATGTGTCTGTCGGCTGTCTGGATGTCTTCTTTGGAGACATGTCTATTCAGGTCCTCTCTTCATTTTTTAAAATTGGATTGTTTGGATTTTGCTATTGAGTTGTATGAGTTCCTTATATATTTTGAATATTAACCTCATGTTATAACACTATCAGCAATTTCAAAATTTTAAAATGGAAATCTTTATTTGTAATGTAAGTCAGCCGTTCTCCAACATTTAGTCTTAAGAATCATCGACGACTCCAGAAAGCTCATGTTTGTGTGGATTTTATCAATTGGTGTTACCAGGTTAGAAATAAAAGTGGATAAAAATCTCTAAATACTTATTTATTAATTTATTTAAAATCACAATAGCAAACCCAATATATGCTAACATAACACATTTTCATGAAAATAACTATTTTCTTAAATAAAAAATTTATTGGGAAAATGGCATTGTTACACATTTTTGCTGTCTTGTTCATGTCTGCCTTAATAGAAGCTGGATTCTCATATTTGCTTCTATATTCAGTAGATTTCTTTAAATGATTTTATTTATTTGAGAGAGAGTGAGAGAGAACGAGAGAGGGGAGGGCCAGAGGGAAAAGCAGACTCCCCGCTGAGCAGGGAGCCCAATGTGGGACTCAGTCCTGGGACTCCGGGATCGTGACCTGAGCCGAAGGCAGACACTTAACCAACTGAGCCACCCGGGCGCCCCTGTATTCAATAGATTCTGAAACATTGTTTTGCTCAGAAAATATAGAGGAA